AGAACATGCAGATTTGTTACATAGTATACATGTGCCATGGTGGTTTGCTGCATCCATCACCCATTTCTGCTAATGCTATCCTTCCCTAACCCCCCACACCCGGACAAGACCCAGTGTGTGATGTTCCCCTCCCTGTGTACATTTTGTTCTCATTGTTCAACACTCACTTATGAGTGAGAACATGTGGGGTTTGGTTTTCTGTTCTTGTGTCAGTTTGCTGAGAATGATGGTTTCCAGCTTCATCCATGTCCCTATAAAGGACATGAACTCATCCTTTTTTATGACTGCATAGTATTCCATGGTGTATGTGTGATACATTTTCTTTATCCAGTCTATCATTGATGGGCATTTGGGTTGGTTCCAAGTCTTTGCTATTGTGAACAGTGTCACAATAAACGTACATGTGCATATGTCTTTATAATGGAATGATTTATAATACTTTGGGTATATACCCAGTACAGTAATGGGATTGCTGGGCCAAATGGTATTTCTAGTTCTAGGTCCTTGAGGAATTGCCACAATGTCTTCCATAACAGTTGAACTAATTTACACTCCCACCAACAGTGCAAAAGTGTTCCCATTTCTCCACATCCTCTCTAGCATCTGTTGTCTCCAGATTTTTTAATGATCACCATCCTAACAGGCGTGAGATGGTATCTCAATGTGCTTTTTATTTGCATTGCTCTAGTGACCAGTGATGACGAGCTTTCTTCCATATGTTTGTTGGCTGCATAAATGTCGTCTTTTGAGAAGTGTCTGTTCATATCCTTTTCCCACTTTTTAATGGGGTTTTATTTTTGTAAAATTTGTTTAAGTTCTTTGTAGATTCTGGATATTAGCCCTTTGTCAGATGGGTAGATAGCAAAATTTCTTTCCCATGCTGCTGTTTGCTAGTTCACTGTAATGATAATTTTTTTTTTTTTGAGATGGAGTTTCACTCTTGTTACCCTGGCTGGAATGCAATGGTGCTATCTCAGCTCAACACAACCTCCGCCTCCTGGGTTCAAGCAATTCTCCCGCCACAGCCTCCTGAGTAACTGGGACTACAGGCGTGTACCCAGCTAATTTTTGTAGCTTTAGTAGAGATGGGGTTTCACCATGTTGACCAGAATGGTCTCGATCTCTTGACCTCATGATCCACCCACCTTGGCCTGCCAGAGTGCTAGGATTATAGGCGTGAGCCACCGCACCCAGCCTGTAATGATAATTTCTTTTGCTGTGCAGACGCTCTTTAGTTTAATTAGATCCCATTTGTCAATTTTGGCTTTTGTTGCCATTGCTTTCGGTATTTCAGTCATGAAGTCCTTGCCTATTCATATGTCCTGAATGGTATTACCTAGGTTTTCTTCTGGGGTTTTTATGGTGTTAGGTCTTATGTTTAAATCATTAATTAATCCATCTGGAGTTAATTTTTGTATAAGTTGTAAGGATGAGATCAGTTTCAGCTTTCTTCATATGGCTAGCCAGTTTTCCCAGCACCATTTGTTAAACAGCACCTTTTCTCATTGCTTGTTTTTGTAAGGTTTGGCAAAGATCAGATGGTTGTAGATGTGTGGCATTATTTCTGAGGCCTCTGTTCCTTTGGTCTCTATCTCTGTTTTGGTACCAGTACTATGCTGTTTTGATTACTCTACCCTTGTAGTATAGTTTGAAGTCAGGTAGCATGATGCCTTCAGCTATTTTTTTTTTTTTTTTTGTGGTTTGTTTGCTTAGTATTGTTTTCACTATGCAGGCTCTTTTTTGGTTGTATATGAAATTTAAGGTTATTTTTTCCAATTCTGTGAAACAAGTCAATGGTAGCTTGATGGGGATAGTATTTAATCTATGAATTACTTTGGGAAGTATGGCCATTTTCATATTGATTCTTCCTAACCATGGGCATGGAATGTTTCTCCATCTGTTTGTGTCCTCTCTTATTTCCTTGAGCAGTGGTTTGTACTTCTCCTTGAAGAGGTCCTTCATGTCCGTTGTTAGTTGCAATCCTAGGTATTTTATTCTCTTTGTAGCAATTGTGAATAGGAGTTCACTCATGATTTGGCTCTCTTTTAGTCTGTTATTGGCATATAGGAATGCTTGTGATTTCTGCACATTGATTTTGTATCCTGAGACTGCTGAAGTCGCTTATCAGTATAAGATGTTGGGCTGGGACAATTGAGTCTTCTAAATATACAATCATGTTGTCTACAAATACAGACAAGTTGACTTCCTCTTTTCCTAATTGAATACCTTTATTTCTTTATCTTGCCTGATTTCCCTGGCCAGAACTTCCAATACTGTGTTGAATAGGAGTGGTAAGAGAGGGCATCCTTGTCTAGTGCCAGTTTTCAAAGGAAATGCTTCTAGTTTTTGCTTTTCAGTATGATATTGGCTGTGGGTTTGTCATATATAACTTTTATTATTTTGAGATAAGTTCCATCAATACCTAGTTTATTGAGAGTTTTTAGCATGAAGGTTTTTTGAATTTTGTCAAAGGCCTTCTCTGTGTCTATTGAGATAATCATGTGGTTTTTGTTTTGGTTCTGTTTATATGATAGATTACATTTATAGATTTGTGTATTTTGAACTAGGCTTTCATCCTGGGGATGAAGCCGACTTGATCGTAATGAATAAACTTTATGATGTGCTGTTAGATTTGCTTTGCCATTATTTTATTGAGGATTTTCACATCAATGTTCATCATCGATATTGGCCTGAAGTTTTCTTTTTTTAGTTGTGTTTCTGCCAGGTTTTGGTATCGGGATGATGTGGGTCTCATAAAATGAGTTAAGGAGGACTCCCTGTTTTTATATTGTTTGGAATAGTTTCAGAAGGAATGGTACCAGCTCCTCTTTGTACCTCTGGTAGAATTCGGCTGTGAACCTGTCTGGTTCTGGACTTTTTTTGGTTGGTAGGCTATTACTTGCTGCCTCAATTTCAGACCTTGTTACTCATCTATTCAGGGATTCAACTTCTTCCTGGTTTTGTCTTGGGAGCGTGTAAGTGTCCAGGAATTTTGATGAATGTATCTTTCATGGGTATATTTCAGGACTTTCTGACTCCTATGGAAGTCCACCAGTAGGCCTATCACCTCAGAGATGGTAAACCTCAATCAATTCTCCTTTTTTGAGAGTCCCAACACCTGATTCATAAATGCAAAGCCACTGACCCTTCCTGTTGTGTATTTCTGTACAGAGTAGCAGACACAGCTGTTTGGCTGCTGCCCTCATCCAATAGCGACAGCTATTTATTTTCTTCCTTTCTTTAGTTCTCAGTAAATTTGTTGTTAGGCTTTTAAGGTATGATAATTCATCATTTCTCTTTCTCAGGTCCTGAACTAACTGGAAAAAAATGTATGCAAGAATTATTCTGATCAATCTATCAGCTTTATTACTACCAATGCAGAATTTGAGACTTTGGGGTTAACATGTGGACAATCACATTCTCATTACTTTTTCCCCCGAAGATTAAATTATCTCTCTTATCTCCTGGACTTCTCTTTATAGAGGAGGAGTTTTGCCTATTAAGCATGCCAGAGAGAAATTACACTCATTCTCAGAATAATGCTGTGCCAAATGGGAGTGATTCAACTCAGTTATTTTTTCTAATCTTAGTAACTCTACAAATTGTTCCTCTTTTCGTGCAGAAAGGTGAATGAATATTGTAGATAAAAAGGGATGTTACCTTCCCAGAAATTAGAGTGAAATTTTCTTCTGGAAACATAGGAACAGGATATTAGACTCCTGTAACACCTAGTTTCTTTTTTCACCATGATGGAAGTTTTAATGAGACAGAAAAACTTCCAGGTCCTGTACTAGAAAAGTAGATTATTCTGCCTGGGGACTATAGATGCTTCTCTAAAGTAGTTTTCTTATTTTCCTTTCAAAACACATCTCTTCGTGGCTAAAAAGAAAATGAGAGAATACTCATGTTTAATAGAAATCTCTGACTAGACAAATTGCTGCTCTTCTATCGGAGGAGCCTCTCATGGCACTCCCAGATCTACTCTAGAGTAAATGTATGTATCACACATATAAACTGACTGACCAAAATCCAACTTGCAAACTGTATTAGTCCATTTTCACACTGCTATAAATAAATACCTGAGACTGAGTCATTTATAAAGGAAAGAGGTTTAATTGACTCACAGATCTGCATGGCTGGGGAGGCATCAGAAAGCTTATAATCATGGTGAAAGGGGAAACAGACACATCTTACATGGTGGCAGAAGAGAGAGAGAAGAGAGAGCATGTGAGAGGGAAGGAAAGACTGCCATTTATAAAACCGTATTCACTCACTGTCACGAGAACAGCATGGGGGAACGACCCCTATAATCCAATCACTTCCTTCCCTCAACATGTGGCACTTATAGGTCCCTCCCTCAACACACGGTAATCACAATTTGAGATGAGATATGGGTGGGGACACAGAGCCAAACCATATCACAGATTTCTTGAGCTAACCATGTAAATCCAACATCTGCACATTTTTTAACCTGAAAGACATTGTTTCCATGGGGAAGAAATACAATATTTTGCCACCTGTCCTTTGAAGGTAAAGGAAATAAGAATAAAATATTGAGTATTTAAATTTAACTCTATTTTATTAAGACCATTTAAAAATTACATAATTTTCCTTGTTGGTGCATATTTACATCCCAAAGTAAATTACTGAGAATATTTGAACATAATGAATACAAAAATATTGACTTTTTTTCACTCCTAAAAAAGAACCCCTATTACAAAGAAAGATTTCTGAAGGCAAGATTTCTTTATACTTAAAAGGCAATCAAAATGTCAAATTAAAGCAGCATCTCACTATTTGGTTTGATCTGAGTTAGACAAAGGGGTTAAAATAGGGTTTCTACTTCATTATGCCCTCCATGGCTAGAAAGAAATGCAGATCTGTCTCTCATACACCTTTACAGGAAGAGGTAAGAGTTCATAATCTCCACGTGCCTGAGGACTAGATGGTCAACAAACCTGGAGTAGACCTGACCCATCCACCACTTACACACCGTCTGTCTTCTTGTTCTCAAAAGCATAGCCTCCACTTCTTGCTGTCTACAGTGTTTTAAACCAAAGGACATGCTGAAAAGTGGGAGATATTTATAGGACCTCATGCAAATACAGTGCTGCCTGAATGACTGTCCTTTTCTTCATTAATAGGAATGAAACACTCACAAAAACCAATGGGGGTTGTAGGGTTCTAGAGAATTGTGGAACGTGAGATCTAGATTATCATCTAATCCTTGTTTCCCATTTTAGCATGAGTATAGGGTAATTGTTATAAGTTATTAACATATTAGAGAATAATGGAGAAGTGTCTGTGACCACTGGATATTACCATTGGTGTATATTTTATGTCCCAAAGTAATGTGAAAAATGTAAAGGCAAATTTACATTTAAAAAGAATTACTAAAAATATTGGAAATAATGAATTATGTTTACATCTCCAAAAAGTGGGGGAGATTAAAAAATGGCTTTTGCGTTGAAATAATTCTTATTAGTAATATACATATTTTACATAATTATATATATTGTACATCTTGGCAAATTATTGAAGAGTTGCTCTGTTAATTATGAATACTAGCAGTATTTCAGGGCAAGCATTGACTTATGAACATGTGTGAAAAGGTAAAGTTGAAAACAATGTTTTTAGCCCAAATACATTAAGCACTGAAGAGAAGCGTAAAGAAGTGAGGATTGTATGCTGACTGAGCTGTATTGAGGCTGAGGACAGAGGTGATGAGGCCAAAATTATAATTGTTAAGTGGCTCTCTGGAGTCTGGTGAATGTCAAGTGTTTACAAAATAAATTATCAGTAATAGAATTATACTTTAAGCACAAATTAGTATTCCTCGTGTGATTAATTATTTAGAGAATTCTCACTGAAAACTTAATAACCTATAGGAAATGTTCCTAATTACAGCACGTCATTACTGCTGTGATATAATGTCCCATTATATCGCAGCATTTCCAAATATCAGCTGATCTAGGAAATGTTGAAATTATTTCTTAATTAACAAAAGGATTATCCTTCAGAAAAAGCATACTTTATCCGATGAGTATAAGAGCAGAGAAAAAAAATTTGTGTGTGTGCGCGCACGCAGCTTTGTGATAGTTTCAATGAAAATAAAATTCAACATGTAATTGAAAACTCCATGATTATTAAGGCCAAGTTTCTTAAACTAGAAAAGTTAAAATTTGATAGATTAACATCCCTTGCTTAATCAGTCATGTAAGTATATAACCAGAAGTTTAGAACTGGTAGGATGGAGAGAGAGACCCAGAGACAGTTTCACAATGACTGGTTCTGCTCACCTTTCAAAGGGTCACACAAGATCTTGGCTCACTTTCTTTATCTGTAAAATACACACTTAGTCAAGTTTTGTGTGAGAAATGAATGTAGAGATGAAGGGATCAGCATGCTCTCTGTCTTTTCATAGGACGTTTTGCTACTTCATAGATATTGATTTCCTTATTGTCTACATTGTTTTAGTATTTGGCTAAAATGTACTGAATAAATGATCACATTTTCTCTTTCAGCAATGGTTGAATTGGATGGAGATGATGTAAGAGTCTCCTCTAGAGGAAAATATGCTGAAAGAGACATTGTTCAGGTAAGAAATTGAACCTTTTCCTACTTTACTATTGCTAGAAAATATCTTGGGATCTTTAACAAAATTAGAAGGTAGAAATATAACAGACTTTTAAATGATGCTTATCTATTTTTTTTGTCTCCACAAAAACTAAATCTATTTTAATCTGATAGATATTCAGAGTAAATAAATTTAGTAAAAATGTACCAAAAACTTTGTATGTATTTTCATACTTTCCTCATAGATTATGGTAAGAAAAAATAGGGAAATAGATTCTAAAATTTGTCATACATAAAAGAAACTATATCTACATCTAGAAAATGCTAGAATTAAGAAAAATACTTAACTAAAGCCTATTTTGGGAGTGAATATAAACAATCCATAATTAAACATAGTTAACATTTATAATTGAAAGCAAGGTATTAATGAACTAAATAGTTGCATAGGATTTCTGGATTTTTTTAGGATGTCAGAATGGAAAAAAAGCTATGAAGTGTATCTTTTTGGATCAGAAAAGGAAGAAGGTCTCAATACCATTTAAGCACATTTTATCAAAATTTTAAGAGAGCAAACAATGAACTTTATTATTATTTCCTAAATAGTAACATATATTCACCCATAATACAGTCATTAAGAAAAAATAATTTGGGATTGCAAGAATTAAAGAAAGGAAAGAAACACCAAGGGTGGCTCCACAGTCAACAGGCTTATTTCAAACCTGGGAGGGACTTTTGACCAAGTTAGGTCAGAAACCACACTCTCTTACAGACTAACAGTTTTTAAGGAATCAGGGTGGGGGGGTTTATCAGAGGCTTGGACTGCTTCTATGGCTCTTTGTTGTGTTTGTCTGGGAGGGGGAGGAAGAACTGTGTGTCTGTTTCCATACATCTTTCTGCAGGTATATCTTCCATATCTGCTTTTAGCTTCCTTAGTGCACCTTAAGGAAAAATAATGTGCTTCTTAAGGCCCACTGTTTTTCTGGGGTCCATTGTATAAGAGTAAAATTTGGCAGTTACCCAAGAGACTTCCTCCCTATGTGCCTGAAATGTCTTATCTGTGTTTAACTCTCTGCTCTTTCTGGCTGCTTGTAGTTAGAAGAGAAGTAATTTCCTTAAAATGCATGAGGCTAGAAAGGGAGCTGGAACTTAGAGTGGCAGCATTTGTTCGAGATAACAGTGCTCCTGCTTTCTCAGGGATTATACAGAATTTGGTTGTAATTCTGATTTTTCTACTATGATAGCTTATAAGCTTTCTAGATTTCAGTGTTTTGGGGGATAAATAGAACTATGAAGATTAAGTGAGATAATACATATAAAATACATTCTAGAAATGGAACTTTTAGACAAAACCACAAAAAATGCTTGAAATAACTTAAGGAAGTAATAATATAATCTGTTAGTGTGATAATTTAAAGAGTAATGTTGATAAAGATAAAAAATATTCTGCATTAGTCCACAAAATTAGCTTTTAAAATAAAAACGTTTATAAAATAGTTTTATAAAAAAGATAATTGACTATGATGTAAGCTTTTTAACCTACAGTACTTGATATGGTAAAAATTACACTAACAAATGATTAGGTTAAGAGCAGCTGAGTAAAAGAACCTGGTGATATGGTCATTTGTTTAAGAAGCTCATTATGTGTTTTTTTCATAATTAGACAAATGATTATTCACCTTAACCTCATCAGTATAACTATAGATCTAAGTAATTACACTTTATTTAAAAGCTCTCCATAATATCTGTTCATAGTTTCAAAAAAATCAAATTACTGCATGGAGGTATGAATTTGAAGTCTTTAGAATGTGTTATGTTGCTGTTTTAATGCATTTTTACCAGGTTAGCAGAGGCAACCTCATATCTCAGTTTCATTTAAATGATGTTTAAGAGAAGCTTGGTAATATTTTCTTCATTAGGAAGTAGCTAAGATTGCTTACATCATTAAGGTTTCCTTTAAGAAAACCAATAGATTATGTTAGTGACAACCTATTTGCATTCATAAAATAAAAATTATCCTTGATCACAAAACTAAGCACTCAACACATGTACTACATTGAACAGAGTATTGACATAGGGCCTGAATGATCTGTGAAACTATAATTTTGTCACTCTCATTTTTAACAAGTAAAAAAATTTCTGTCTTTACTTCATTATCTGTAGACTCTAAATTCTTTCATCTTTGCTCCTCCCATGATGTTGTCTCAGATGAAGTAACAGATATTAAGTACTTTGTTACTTATCAATAGCATAGGTATATTAGTATAATTATATAGTTTTTGTTTTGAAAGTCACAATCCTTGAGAGCAGTCTATCACCATAAAGTAACGCTGGGATCCCAAAGATTTTGAACACGCCCGGGGACACAGGTGAACACTCAAGGGATTCTGCCACATAAAGCCCAACTGAGGAGCAGTGAGGTCTTAACATTTACTGAACAAGAAATTAAAATATCCCTAGGAAATTAGCAACACCCTGAATAACAGTGACATCTTCACTTACATTCCTACATTGAGTTAGAGATTTGATATACTCTTTTCTAATTTCATAGAGAAGTTTCTAAATGATGGTTGGTCCTTTACGTATCACATTGATCATTTATATTCACATTGTATAAAAGAATTGGCACCTCCCCTCTCACCTTGAATAAGGCTAAACATTCTACCATCAGAGTTTTCCAGGTTCTACCAGTCACTAAAAAGTTTTTAAAGCAAATTTTATAGGAGAGAAACATTATTGAATATTTAGAATAGTAGGGTTGCACGTATATATGCCGGGTAGTATTTTCAATCTTCCCATGGTCAGAAAACAACTGTAAACCAATTTTCTAAACAGAGTCTATTTTAGGCTCTCTTGCCTTTTCTCTGCTTTCCATTTCTCACTATTTGAAGCGAATCCAGTTTATACACACTACACAGTTAAAATTCCAGATTTCTCAAGTGGACCAACAAAACTGTAATGTTGCAAATAATGGTAGGTAGCTGAGGTTCAGCAGAAAATTAGGGGTAGTAGATGGGGTTTTATTATTAAATACATTTTCATATAATGATATTTAATCCTTTAGTGTTTCATGTGCTAGGCAGGCTAAGAGCTATAGCATTGTATCACTCAGTCCTTAATTAACTTCATGTAACAGGTACTTTGATTACTGCATTTTATAAAAAAGGAAATGAAGCTAGCTCAATTCCTCCTGTCCAGTCACACAGCTAATGAGAAGTGGACCAGGATTTAATCCTAAAATGTCAGATTCTAAAATTCTTAACATGCATTCTGTGTAATTTTGATTCTAATACCTAAACATGACATTTAAGATTCTCCATGACCTGACTCCAGGCTCTGCTTTAGCTAAGTACAGACAGAAACAGACGAATGCACTGTACTTTACCTTAACAAATTAACTTTTCATCACACAATTCCATGCTTCTTGCTTCTATTTTCACTCGTCATTTTACCTGGAATACTCTTCCTCCTCATCTGTGCTGATTGAAATCCCAGACTTTGAAATTTCTCAATATATAGCCTGTCACAAAGTCCTCTCCAAAGACCTCACTCGCCACACCTGGATGGATTTTCACTTTCTTTCCATATTACTTCCTATGTTCCTAAAAATACTGGTCATTATCTTATAATTATTTACAGATAAGGAAATTGAAGCCTCATATCAAAATTAAATAACTTTTGGAAAGTTATTTAGGTCATAAGTTGGTAGATCCAGATTTCCAACAGTGTTCTGTTTCTAAAACCAGTGTTATTCCTATAACACACTGTCCTAAAAGATGAAATTTTAATGAAAATGATTAATATCTATTATACTCTTTATATTACTGAAGTGGCTAATGCATTCCAGTCACATCCATTTGAGTTCAAATAGTGATTTTAACACATAGTCAGAGCTGATCCTGGATATGTTAAACTTTCTAAGTTTCAGTTTCCTCTTATGTAAATTCAACGTATATAAGATACTTGTGAATATTAAATGACATATCGTGCTAAACCTCCTAGCAGAAGATGTCCCAACTACTAGTTGCTCAATAAATGCATTTTTATCAGTACAGTATGTTGGCACAGTCCAGTGGGAAGAAATTTGTCATTATTTCATAGTAGATGTGCCCCAACATACAACAAGGTAGTAAGTTTTATATGTGATTAAGTCTCATTGCTTCAGTATTTAATTCCAGATCACTATAGTATAAATAGTAAGCTGGATGAGTTCCTATGGTTGTTACTCTAAAACTTAAGTGACTTATTTTCTTAAGTCAGTATACATAAAGACTTTCTATTTGTTTGTTTATGCTATGGATTGGCCATTGTGTATAACGCAGTGTCATTCCCCCTAGCTGCATGTAGCTTCTGGCCAGCCTATCATTTCCTTGAAAATTTTATTTAAATCATATTTTCCATTAAAAGGAGAATAACAACCTTGAGGGCTTAGACTTGAAAATCACTAATGGAGCTCTGCACAGTAGGAACAATCAAGCAAAATTGAGCAGAGCAACAACTAAAAGCCCATTTGCCCAAACTAATTCAAATTTGTTTTTACAAATAGGCAAAGCAAGCAGTTAGAGCAGCCCCGTGGAACATTTTCCTTATACTGGGTAGATACTGAAAAAAGATGTAGAGTAACAAGTATGCCATATTTCCTATAGAACAAGATGCATTTATTGGTATTTATATGAATGTGATAAATTAGTGCAAAGTAAATATTGATTTATTCTTCCAAACTAAACATTATTAACTAATATAAGGATCCAAGTTACCTTATGGCCAGCATACATTCACCAATGTGTGAGAATTATTTTGTACAAGAGGTTCCCAGCTACGGGAATCAGGAATGAGGGACTAGTTAATAGAGGTAATAAACAGCATGGCCTAAGAAGTTGAGAGGAAAACTGTAAAGATAAAAGGATATGCCCAATCTTCCAAGAAAGAGGGCATTTTGTGTCCTGAAAATTTTAAGATTTGAAATAAAAAAGGAAATGAAGTTGCTTGTCTTTTTCTTAAAGTACCTTATGACATGACTGAAGAAATGAACGTTCCTTTGGAAAGGTTTGGTTTAGGCTAGTGACTTTTTTTTTCCTACTCCAGATATAAGTGTGGGATGATGATACTTATATCGGGATGTAAGTATGCAGATACATATATCCAGGATACTCCTGTTACTAACAGTGACTTCCTATGACAGTAGTTCTCAACCTGTGGGCAGTGCCCCCTAATGTCCAAATGGAATATCAGACTCTGTTCACCTAACAAACCTAAGCTAAATGTGATTTATACTCCCATCCAAGGTTGAAATTGAGGATTTATAAACATGTTTAAAATACGAGTAGAACAGTGATAATTATGAGCGTTAGCTTTGATCTTTCTGAGTGTCATAAAATTCTTAAAAGTGAAATTCAACTTACCTCAAAAAAAAATCGGCATATCCTGTAGGACTTGCTGGAAAGGTGAAACAACAAGTGTTTTAAAACAACAAAACTCCAGGAACTAGTGTTTTAGATTAACTGATACTGTATTCAAATTTGAAAGATAAAATTGATAATAATCTTCCTTGTATTTAAATATTTGATATGAATATAAATGGAAAACTACTAACAAAATAGTTTAATATATAATACATATTACAAATTGAACTGTTACTGTTTAAGCACTTTGTTTTAACTTATTTAATATAAAAACAATGAAATAGGTATAATTATCCTTATTTTTATTATTGACATAATTATATATATTTATAGGGTACAGTGTGATATTTCATTACATGTATGCAATGTATAATTATCAAATCAGGGAAAGTACACTCATATCTCAGACATTTTATTATTATTATTTTGAGAGAGAGTCTCACTGTCACCAGGCTGGAGTGCAGTGGTGCGATCTTGGCTTACTGCAACCTCCCTCTCCCCAATTCAAGTTATTCTTCTGTCTTACAGTAACTACAGGTACATGCCACCATGCCCAGTTAATTTTTGTATTTTTAGTAGGGATGGGGTTTCACCATGTTGGCCAGGATGGTCTCGATCTCTTGACCTCATGATCTGCCTGACTTGGCCTCCCAAAGTGCTGGGATTACAGGCGGGAGCCAGCGTGCCCAGCCTACATTTATTATTTGTGTTGGGGACATTCAAAATTCTGTCTTCTAGCTATTCAAAAAGATGCAATAAATTATCATTAACTATGGTGAACTTACAGTGCTAGAGAACAATAGAATATATTCCTATCTAGCTATAATTTTGTATCTATTAACTCAAGTCTCCTTACCCCTCGTTCCCCACCTATCCTTCCCAGCCAATGGTAACCACTGTTCTACTCCCTATTTTTATAAGATCAGCATTTTAAGCTTGCACATATGAGTGAGAACACGTGGTATTCATCTTTCTGTGCCTGGCTAGAGGAGAAGCTTCCAACAGATTCAAAAACTAGCAGAAGGCAAGAAATAACTAAGATCAGAGTAGAACTGAAGGAGATAGACTCAAAAAAACCCTTCAAAAAAATCAGTGAATCCAGGCAGTGGTATCTCACCTTTTAAGTACTTATTTATAAAAACTGCTCTGAGTTTTCCTCCTGGAATCAGGGTAAAGAAAAATAAGGAGGGGCCACGGTGGCTCATGCCAGTTGTCCTGGCGCTTGAGGAGGTGAGGCTATGCATT